TTTTCGTGCACTTTCAATTGCCTTGAAGCATAAGCAATGACTTTCTCATGTTGCATCAAAACACAACCAAGTCTAATCTGTGAAGCATCACAATGCACTACAAAGCCATCCGTTCCTTTAGGTAATGTCAATATAGGGGCTGAAGTGAGTCTATCTTTCAATTCTTGGGAACTCTTCTCACAAGCTTCCAGCCATAAAAATTTAACCTTCTTTTAAGTCAATGTTGTCAAAGGCGAAGCAATAGAGGAAAATTCTTTAATAAACCTTTTATAATAACCGGCCAAAGCTAAGAAACTTTGTATATCTAAAGCGGACAATGATCTAGGACAATTCTTAACCGACTCGATCTTCTTAGGATCACCTTGAATGCCTCTACCAGAGACAATATGGCCAAGAAAAGCAACTGACCTCGACAAAAACTCATATTTGCTAAACTTAGCATACAATTCACTATTCTTGAGAATTTATAACACAATTCTCAAATACTCAACATGTTGATCCTCACTCCATGAGTAAATTAAAATATCATCAATAAACACAATTACGAACATATCAAGATATTTCTTGAAGATCATATTCATCAAATCTATGAATGCTGTCAGGGCATTAGTCTGCCTGAAAGACATAACCAATAACTCATAATGACCATGCTAGGTTTGTAAAGCCATTTTTGGAATGTCATTTTCCTTCACCCTTAATTGGTGATAACCCGACCAATGGTCAACCTTAGAGAAGTAACTCGCTCCTTGGAGTTTATCAAACAAGTCATCTATCATTGGAATAGGATACTTATTCTTTATTGTGACCTTATTCAGTTGATGATAGTCAATGCACATTCGGAGGGAACCATCATTCTTTCGAACAAACAAAATCGGAGCACCTCATGGTGAGATACTTGGTCTAATAAATCTTTTTTCTAATAAGTATCTTTAATTTCCTAAGTTCTGTTGGGGGCATACGATAAGGAAGAATAGAGATAGGTTGTGTATATGGGAGAATGTCAATACTTATTTATTTCTTCTTCGAAAGGAATATCGGGAAGACTATTAGGAAACACTTCGAAAACTCATTAACAATCGGAACTGACTCAAGAGTAGGGGTTTCAGATTCTGTATCCCTAACACGAAACGGATGATAAATGCAACCCTTAGAATTCATTTTCCTAGCTTTTAGGCAAGATACGAAGTGACCCTTAAGAACATAATTTCCCCTTTCTAATGAAATGATTGGTTCAATCGGAACCATGAATGTGATCAATCGGGTCCTACAGTTTATAGAATCATAACATGCATGAAGCCAATCCACCCCAAGAATAATATCAAAATCTAACATGTCAAGATCTACGAATCAATGTGAGTGACTCTATGAGAAATGAAAATATGACAATTTCTCTAAACTCTCTTAGCAACAATAGAATCACCAGTGAGAGTAGAGACGTGAAAGGGGTTAGAAAGGATTTAGGGACCAACATCAAATCCCGTGGCCACATAAGGAGTAACAAATGATAAAGTAGCACCCAGATTAAGTAAATCATACACATCAAAATGAAAGTCTTTCAACATACCAGTCACAACATCTAGAGAGCCTTCAAGATCTTGTCAATTTTGAAGAGCATAAAATATATTCTGACGAGGAGCACCCAAACCAGAACCACTAGGTTGAGCTTGACTACCATCCTTACTCTTTCTAGCTAGCAACAAACAATCCTTCACTTTGTGACCACTCTTTCCATAATCAAAGCAATCATTTTTACCGGCTATACATTTTCCCGAGTGACTCTTACCACACATTTGAAAACTGGGAGTAGAAGATCCATTTCCACCACTTCCCTAAGGCTTAGGGTTAAACACCCTATCTTTGTGATCATGTGTTACCCCCAAAAACTCATATTTATAACACTCAATGACCATAGTCATAAATTTCATTCAGATCATCAAGTCATGATGTTCCATTTCATGTATCATAACTTTGCATTCATGAGAGACATATATCATATCATAATATTGATATTAGAGAATCAAAAAAAGGTCTCATATTTGAGAACTTTCAGAACTCATAACATAAGAATTCTTAAGCAAACATCAAGAAGTTATCAAGTAGTCATAAAGAGAATCATTAAAATAGTTCTCAAGATAAGAATTTATTATTTCAATAATCATTCATAATTCTACGTAATCAATCTTAGAAAAACTCATGGGTAATGTAGAAAATCTTAGAAAAACACATGGGTAAAGAATTATCAAGAAATTGAAATACTTTCGTGGAGAATTCTTCGGGTTTCATAAAGATTCATGAACAATTCAAAAATATGGGGTTTTGTCTTTACCCCAATTCATTCATGTAAGATTCTTTGAAACCATGACAACGTAGTTGGTGAGGAAGAACAAGGTGCTTTCACACATGGAGATAACTTTACATACCTTAGTGACGAATCTTAAGAAAAATCTTGAAAGATGAACTCTGGCTTTGGTGTTTCTAAAAAAAATTTAGCATAGGAATTTTTGAGAACAAGAGTATAGTAATGAAAAATACATGTCATACATGTTTGAGGCAATTTAGATAAAGTTCCAAAGGTTTTAGGACAAAACTACACCTTAAAAAAATCCAAAATCAACAAAATTTATCGTTATGTCGTCATCTGAGTGACGGGCCGTCACACAGACCGTTATAACCTACCCAAAATACGAGCATTAGGCCTCCCTGTGACAGCCAGGTGTGACGGTCATGTCACAGTTCTATCGGACCATCACATTTTTCATTAGACAGTGACAACTTGCAGCGTATCTGGTAAAATAGTCTTAGATTTTTACTCCGGACTCAAATTGACAAACGATCGGTGGCGTTGAAAAGAAGACTCATAGAAATTTGATAGGTTGTGCACCACCTAACTCTTCGTATTATGAGAGATTCTGTCTTTTGAAGTCGATCTTGGTATGAACTCATGCAAAAACTTAGTTGGTAGGAAAGCTTTGAACTTAACTTGGTGATAGAAGCTCCTTATGACCCTAAACTACATCCAATACACTTCTCACAGTTAGTAACATAGCTTAACATATATGAATAACTAACATATCACCCCACCCAAGTTGATACACTTATATCAAATGGTTCAAATTCTTAGAGAAAAATTACAAGATGTTACACGTTAATACACATCAATTGTATCAAGTGTTTAACTAATACAATTTGCATAGTCTTGTATCAATGAATACATTGAATATAATTGTATAAATGAATCCACTTTAATTTGTATATTTGTATTTTCTATCATATGTTGCCTTGAAATAATTAAATTTGAATCATCAAAATATTTCATTTGTATTTTGAATCATATACAAAGATTTGTATTACTGAAAAATCTTTTGTATCACTGAAAATGATCTGTATAGTTGACAATTATTATTTGTGTTTGATTCATTGATTGCTATCATTTGTGTTGTAGAGAGAGGAGGAGGTGTGCGAGAAAAGACAGAAGGAGGAGGTGAGTGAGAAAAAACAGAAAGATGAGGGAGACGAGCGAGATATGGTAGAGAGAGGGAGAGAGGCAAGCGAGAGTGTAGAAGGAGGCGAGGGAGAGAGAGGTGCGCGAGAGTGCAGAGGGAGGCGAGGGAAAAAGGTGCACGAGAGTGCAGAGAGAGGCGAGGGAGAGAGAGGAGAAATAAAAAATTTCAATAAAACTCTAACTATAACTACGAATTGTAATTCTTTTAAACTATAGTTGTGTATAATAAATACATATTACATGTTTTCCGTAATTTTTTCAAAACATGATGTTTTAAAAGAAATGAAATTTTTTAAAATGGCAAAGGGCCAAATATACCCCTGTACTATAGGAAATAATTTAAATATACCCCTAGTTATAAGTTCAGGCTAAATATACCCCTTCCGTTATACTTCGGGTTAAATATGCCTTTATGACTAACAGAGGACACGTGGACGACTAAGATTAAAAGAACTATTCAATTTAAAATAAATCAAATTCGAATATAACCCACCCCACCCAAATAATTTATTTTTAACCCGACCTAACCTAGAACGGTGACCCACCCAATTTATCTTTCAAACAAGGAAACTTAATGTTCATTGAGTTCTCTCCAGCAACCAAAGAGACTCCAATAATCAAATTGCTCTCCAATCAGTGCCAGTAGGTATCAGATTTACCCCTAGAAAAGCTCTTCGTCCACTTCCCCCATTGACGCGTACATGATCCTCCCATTTTGGTTCAATTTAATTTTAAAACAATGATAATCAAGCTCAACTCATGGTAATTTCCCCCTGTTATGTTGGATGTCTCGAAATAAACGAGACTTTCGAATCAAGCTCAAAATCTAGGACTCGCCCAGAAGATCAAGGATTCCACTTGCACTAACTCATTATTCACAATGCCTTCTGGTCAAGCACGAGTAGTAGAAGATTCTTGTTGCTAGTGAAGTTTGAAACTAGCTGCTTCATTGTTCCACAAATTTCCAGTTTTCCCCTATTTTTGTATTTCTTGTCATTATCGTTCCAAAATGACATTTAAAAAAAATAAATAACTCCGGTTCTCAAACCTCTTTGGCTGCACTCCTCTTTAATTGGTTGCTGGAGAGAATTTAATTCGACATTAGGTTTCCTTATTTGAAAGATAAATGGGTGGGTCAATCTTATAGATTAGGTCGGGTTAAATTATTTGGGCGGGCGGGTTATATCCCAATTTAATTTATTTTAAATTGAATTGTTCTTTTAATCTTAGTTGTCCATGTGTCATATGTTAGTCATAAATGTATATTTAGCCCGAAAGTATGACAAAAGGGGTATATTTAACCCGAAAGTATAAATAGGGGTATATTTAAACTATTTCCTATAATATAGGAGTATATTTGGCTCTTTGCCGTTTTTAAAAAGACATTTTTAATCCATCAAGTAATCTTAAGGATACATTTGGAATCAAATTATTTTATTCAATTTCGATAATTTGAAAACATTTTTGATATATAAAAGATTGTCACACTCGCACCAATATTGTTTTTTAGGTGTACAGCCACCATTTTGAACTTCCCAAATTTGATACATACAGTAAAACCCTAACCCTAAAGCCAAAAACCCCTCTTCCTCATCAACGGTGAATCCTATAACCGAAAAGGGTTCCATTGTTTTTCTAAATCTCATCAATGGAGATCGATTCACCTGAAGGTAACGGCGAGGATACGCTAAGCAAAGTCACAAGTGGTCCATTACCATCTGCGGTTACAAAGCTCTCTGGTTCTTCAAGAGGAATCCCCACCGATAGAGACTTTCATTTCTACAACAATTTCAGCGAATTCAGGACTCCCATTTCACAAATCGACATGAAATCTAAGGAAATCTTGGACAAAGTTGGGCAATTATCAGAACTATGGGGAAAACCCATATCGTGTCCGGAGGATCCAGATGACGAGGAGAGCGAAGAATGGCTGGTGAACATAAATGACGATGTTTTGGAGAAACTCGCTTCGTCGTTAGATGAGTTTAAGTTGTTGAGAAAGAAAGAAGAGGAGACTGGAATGAAGATGGAGGATGATTCTGAAAGTGGGTTTCAAGTGGTTGGTAGGAAGAAGAAGAAGAGTGAAGAGAAGGTGAAAGTGGCTATCAAAGGGAAGCCAAAGATTCCATTTCATATACCCACCATCCCTAAGCCACAAGACGCGTATAAAATCATTGTTAACAATACAAATCAGCCATTTGAGCATGTTTGGTTACAGAGAAGCGAGGATGGTTCTAGGTTTGTGCATCCTCTGGAGAAGTTCACTCCGCCAGACTTTGTTGAGACTGCTGGCATTATTGAGCCTGTTAAACCTCCTCCATTGGAGGATACTCCATTCAAGCTTGTGGAAGAGGTTAAAGATCTGAAGCTGTTAGCAAACAAGTTGCGTTCTGTGGATGAGTTTGCAGTTGATTTGGAGCATAACCAATATAGATCTTTTCAAGGATTGACATGCTTGATGCAGATATCAACTAGAACTGAAGATTTTGTTGTTGACACTCTGAAGCTCCGTGTACACATTGGCCCTTATCTGAGAGATGTTTTTAAGGATCACAAGAAGAAGAAGGTGATGCATGGTGCTGATCGCGATATTGTGTGGCTTCAACGTGACTTTGGCATATATGTATGCAATATGTTTGATACTGGCCAGGCCTCGAGGGTTTTGAAATTGGAAAGAAACAGTCTGGAGCATCTGCTGCAACATTTTTGTGGAGTTACAGCGAACAAAGAATATCAGAATGCAGATTGGAGATTACGCCCACTTCCTGCAGAGATGATGAAATATGCTAGAGAAGATACACACTATCTCTTGTACATTTATGATGTTATGAGGATGAAATTGCTATCATCGGATGCTGGCGATGGATCTCCTGAATCTCCTGATGATCCTCTAGTAGAGGTGTACAAGCGCAGTTATGATATATGTATGCAGATGTATGAGAAAGAACTTTTGACTGATACCTCATATCAGCACATATATGGATTACAGGGAGCTGGGTTCAATGCGCAGCAGCTTGCAGTTGTTGCTGGGTTGCATGGTTGGAGGGATGTTATTGCCCGAGCAGAAGATGAAAGTACTGGCTATGTTTTGCCAAACAAAACACTTACTGAAATTGCTAAGCAGATGCCTCTTACCCCAAGCAAATTAAAGGGATTGATGAAATCAAAGCATCCATATGTTGAGCGTAATCTTGGTTCTGTTGTCAGCATCATTAGGGCCTCTGTTCAAAATTCCGCTGCATATGAAGCAGCCGCAGAACAGCTGAAGGAAAGACGCTTAGAATTACGAGCTGAAGAGACTATTGTGGCTACTGAGGGTGCTGAAATTACTGAGTCACCTGGTGACACCTCTGACCGTCGTAATGAATATGGTGGTTTAAAAGGTACTTCCTCGGGACAGGTGGAAGTAACTATTCAGGCAATTAAGAAACCGAGCCGTGGTCTTGGGATGTTACTAGGGAGCACAGCAAAGAGGAAGATGCATCCTGACAAAAAAGAGGCGGAAGAGATCCAAGTGCAGCAGATCAAGTCTTCGGTAAGCCTTCCATTTCATCCATTTTCAGGTAGTATTGAGCAGCTACAGAAAGCTGCAACAGGGCCTGCTAAACCATTGGAAATTAACCATAGAGTGAACGAACCTGTTGCTACTAATTGCAAGACAGATGTTATAACCGTGGAGACTGATTCAGATGATGGGGAATTAGTGAAAGGTGAGCTATCAACTGGAGGACAGGGAAACTCCTCTGCCATGCCTGTAGTTACTTCAAAATTAGAAGATGTTATCTTACTGGAAACTGATTCAGATAGTGAGGAATTAGGCAAAGATGACTCAGAAGTTACTAACAATCAGCCTGAGTGTGGGGATAACAAAAATATAGTTTTTGCTGAGATGGATGAAGGGGGTGAGAATACGCCCCTGTCCATAAATCAAAAAAGTAAGGGAAAGCTTGCTGAGAAACCACAAGCAAATGAAGGTGAGTTGAAGGTTCAGGGTTTTGACTATGAAGCTGCAAGGAAGCAAGTGGTATTTGGAGAAGATCGTGGTAAACAACAGGCGGAAAGAGAAGGTGATGAGTCTCGTAGGAGTAGGAATGATAAAGGTAATAAGAAGGATTTATTCTTAGGTCAGCCACCAAAGATTGAAGAGGCAGCAGAGTTCCAGCAAGGTAGAAGGCGTCAAGCTTTTCCAGCTTCGGGGAATCGAAGCTATACTTTCCGTTAAAACTTGAAAAGCCAATATGAACTCATAAGTAAGGTACGGAATGAACCATCTACAAAGTAAGTACTTCATTTTGCATGCTTTTGGCAAAGCTTACCTGTACTCTTGGCTCAAGCAGGAGGGGGAAATCATAGTTTGATGCATTATATGGAAGTAAAGATTTGGAATTAGTTGCGGTGTTGCTGTTAATCTGCATTTGCTTTTCAATTTTATCATGTTTAGTTGTTTAAATTCTAAGACAATAACTTTCGTGATCTCCATGTGCAATGGAGCCAAAACTCGGGTTAGGACACTGGGAGGTGACTCGAACCACTTCCTGATCCTGATGAGGTTGCACTAGGAATCAGTCCTTAGCCCGCTCTTTATTGCCTTAGTGATGAAAGTATTGACACAGAACAATCTTTTCGGCAAACACCAATCATTTATTTGTAACTGAACTCAATCCAAACAAATACAATTCCCCGAAACTCAATTTTTAGAATTTAAAGTTTTGAATGTTTAATGGTTGTCAATAGAGTTAAGCTCACGTCTACGCATTTAAAACACCCAAAAAGGTCTAGTTTAGTTTTTGGTTTTTAAATTTTAGTTTAGTTTCAATTATACAGTCTTTTCTTTTCTCCCCTGCATCTTTTGTTGATTCATCCTTCAGCTTCCTCCATGTCTCCCTCAAAGTTTTCTCTATCAAACAACGGAATAATGCGGGCTAAAAACAACAAATTTGAGTCTAGTTTCTCAACTGTTGGGTTAAGTTGTTATGTTCTCTTGTAATAGATTCAGGTATGAGATGTTGCAGGCTACAACAGAGTTAATTTTGAGTGAATTAGGAGTGTTGTTTTTGTATGAGAAAACTTGCCATTTCTTGAGTTAAATCCTCAAAAAGTGGATAATTTTCTGCATAAATTTCATGGGATAACCATGGAGTTTAAATAACTACCCTCGAAAATTTGGAAATAACTTCCTAACATTAGTGGAATGAAAACTGCAAACTACTCCAAAACAATAACTATTACTAGAATAAGAAATTGCAAATTACTACTACAAAGAAATAACTATTGTAAACGATGGGTGACGAGAGACAAAGGACTGCTTTTCAACAAATTTTTACTCATCGTCTATAAAGTTAATCCAAAATAATTTCTTGCGTATGTTGACCTCGAGTTGAATGATTCATCATAGTTGTAATAAAGGCCCTTAAGTCGCCTTTTCTTTATTTTAGATCTAATTAGTTTCTTCAAATAATTGGCATGTTGTTGAGGTGAGGAATCTGCTATCTTTGATCTGCAAGCATTACAAATGATTTTTTTCTTGTGTTCATAAAGTTGGGATAAATTAATTGCCGTAGTTAAATATGGATGATTATGCAACACAATCTCAATTGCTATATAATTAGTACGACTGCAAATATAAAATTTAAGTTTTTGCGAATGTGTGAGTTATCAGACTGCAAAACTAACTATTCAATTTTTTCTTGGTAATCTACCAAATACTCGATGTGGCGCAATTTAGCCAATTCTCCCAAATTCTGATTATTGATTGGTGACCCAAAAAGAAGATTACAATGATATTTAAATTCATCCTAAGACATTGAGGCATATTTTTCTCTAATGAAAAAACTTAAGTTATGTATTGCCCTCCAAGTGAAAAGAAGCAAGTTCAATCTTTTCTTGTTTTGGAGTTTGTTGGTGTCGAAAGAAGTGTTCATATTTGTTCAACTATTCCAAGTGATTCTCTTGACCATTAAATCATGAGAATTCCAACTTTGTATGTTGAGGAATGATGAAACTTCCTTTTACTTTTGATCTTGATCCTCCTGCCACTCTAGTTTTATCCTTCCAATCGTAATCCTGACTGATATGTTCAGTTGAATCAGAACCAACCTTTGAACTTGCTAAATCTTTTGTAAGTACGTTCAAATGAGCATTTATTGTTTCATGGCTAGCTAAATTGGCGACAAGCTCTTCTTGGAACAAGTTCGCCAAGTGCAAGTTGATGTTGAATTAGTCTTCCATAATTTTCGACTCTGATACCAAGTTGTTACAGTCCCTTGTTATAGATCTGGTTATGGACAGTACTTCAAGACAAAATTAGAGTGAATGTAGAGTGAACTGAGAATATGAAATGAGGTCTTCTTCTTTCGTCCTATAATGTTGGTTCGTTTAGAGAGAACCTGCAATATCTTGAGTTAAAATACTTAATAATTGGATAATTTTTTGCATTAATTCCTTGAGATAAACATAGAGCTTAAGTACAATATGTATAGATAACTATTCTTAAAAATTAGGATACGATTTCTTAATATTACTGGAATGGAAAACTACAAGTTATTACAAAAAATCTACTACTAAAATAAAAAAAACCGCAAATAACTACTACCGTGAACGTTGAGAAATAAAGGAAAGATATTGAGACTTCATATCTAGCAAGACTATGAATTCATGATTTTAATAAAGCTTCTTTCATTACTAATAGATAAAGAGAGGGGAGTATTAATAAATTGAGTCATTTAATGTTGTTACAATAAGATACATAAAAAAGAAAGAACATTATAAACCTAAAAGAAGAAGAAGATACATATAATTTTTGGTCAATTAAACATGTCACATCACTCTTGTTAATTTAAGTTGTATCTATTGTTTTGATGATCGGATAAACTTTGGACCTGAGACGAAACTGAGAGTGTCCTTACATGAAATATTGTAGTTGTCCAAAAGTCTACAACTTTGCAATTCATGTTGTGGTTGGTGCGCGTCTCCCACAACACAATAGACCATCAACCAATGGAATTGCTTTGTCCCTCGTGTGTTTGTACGTATCCTATAATGTCTATTCTCCATTGTCACAAACAAGTTTTTTGGAAAATAGTTTTTTCAAAAAGGAAAAAGCTTCTCTCTCAAAAGGAATATTGCTTAAGAACAACCAGAGTACCTTATAGAGTTATCATTGTTCTTAGTTATTGCTAGGGTTTATATTTCGGTGGTTAGTCTTGTAAGATCTATTCCTAATCTATAAAGAAAGTAGATCAATTTTCATCTCAGAACACAACGTGTTTTAGCTAGGGTTAGCTATGTTGCGTTCTTAAAGTCTAGATCAGCTAGAGCTAGTTGGTTTAGTGGGCAATAGAGTTATTGCTTAGTTCTTACTTGAAGTAGAGTTGTGAAAGTAAAGGGGAGGAGATTAAGAGTTTGATTCCTAGATTACTAGAGATTTGTAATCTGAAGTCTTTGCTCCATTTTGAGTGAAATGGAGTTGAGTTGGAACTCTGTGAGACATGTCGTGGTTTTCACCTCCCTTGAGCAAGGGGGTTTCCCACCTAAAACTCTCGTGTCTGTTTTACTTTGCATTATTTACTTTCTGCACTTTTATTCTGTCAAGGGACCTGGTCCAGTGACTATAAGTGGACACATACATTCCATCAATTGATATCAGAGCTTGAGCTCTCTATCTGGTTAACACCAAGAGAAAGATTCATGTGAGAATAGTGGCTCCACTAAATCTAGAAGAAGGTTAGTCATCAACTAGGCCACCTCGTTTCAATGACCAGTTCTACAGTTGATGGAAGGCACAAATGCATGACTTTCTGATGGCTGAAGATAGCGAATTATGGGACATAATTCTTGATGGCCCTCACATCCCTACGATGGATGTAAAGGATGGAAAAATTACAAGAGTCGTTCCCGAAACTCGACAACAGTACAATGATGCAGACATAGAGAAGATAGAAAAAAATTACAAGGCTAAGAAGCTCTTAGCGTGTGGCATCGGAGCTGAGGAGTACAACAAAATCTCAACCTGTGAATCAACAAAAGAAATTTGGAATTGCCTCAAGACTTCTCATGAGGGGACTGAGCAGGTGAAGCAGTCTAAGGTGAATATGCTAACCACCTAGTATGAGAACTTCACCATGAAAGAAGGTGAATCCATTCAGGAGATCCACACCAGATTCCTAGGTATCACTAATGAACTCAGATGCTTGGGTGAGCCCATACATCCAAGCAAACAAGTAAGGAAGATACTTAGGATTCTTCCTAAGTCTTGGGCCAGTAAAGTAAATGCAATCAATGAAGCCAAAGACCTGAAGGTTCTCACAATAGATGTTGTTATTGGGAACTTCCGAACCCATGAGATGCATAGAAATCAAGATCCCTCAAAGAAAAAGGTAAAAAGGGATAAATCTCTTAATCTCAAGATCTCCCAAAGTGAGACTTCTAACATTGATAATGATATGACTTATCTTACTCAAAGATTTCAAAAAATTGTGAGAAAACATGGAGGATTTATGAAGAAAGGTAACTCTAGCAGGGTTGCGACTACAAATGACTTGTGTCACAAGTGTGGCTAACCTGGTCACTTCATCAGAGACCTCCCAATGCACAAGGTAGAACATAAATAGTATGTTAAGTCTAGAGGAGACAAGGACAAATGCAGAGACCTGATCATGGAAAAGTCAAACAGGAAGGCAACAACAAACTATGTAGTAAAAATGGCCTTAGCTGTGTGGGGAAATTCTTCAAATGATTCAGATGAATCTGAACATCCTGACGATGCCTCCATACTTGCGGTTGAAAAAGATGAATAACTATCTGACTCCATGTTTGCATTCATAGCTCTATCAGATGACAAAGAAGTTGTTGAAGAGGTAACTCTCTCTGATCTCAAACAAAATCTGAATTTTCTTTTCGAAAAAAATTTGAGAAAACTAATGAATGTGCTGATAGATTTATTTAGTGATCTGACCACTAAGAAAGTTCTCTTAAGTATTAATCTATATATTTCTCAAGATGGAAAAATCGCCATAGTCACCCAAATATCTGAGTTGAATGAACAAATGGGAGGTTTAGAAATTGAAAATCTAGAACTGAAGAAAACTTTCAACTCAATTGGTAACAAAACTTTCAACTCAACTTTGTGCTAGGAGTTTTTAGTGACCTAAATTGATATGAAAATTCATTCTCACACTAAAGAATTTACCTTTGCACATATGGGCAATTTAAGAATCACTCGATATGACCCTACATGTTAATGAAGAATAATTCGGATCTTAACTTAAAAATTTCCCTACATGAGGGAATTATTATGACCATATAGCCATTCCTTTTGATTTGAATTTTGAAGGAAAAATGAATCGATTAGAGAAAACAAATAGAGAATTAGTCGACTATAGCTTCAGTATCATGACTTTGAAACTAGTCACCAAAATGAGTAATATAGAAGACAAGGTAATTAGATAGCCTGAGAAGATGACAGAGTCATGAGC